CTGGTTATCTCGAAGTGTTCAATTACATTCAAACAAATTGTTTTGGTAACCGTCCCTGGCTTGGTGGGCTGCAGGGTTTCACATTCCAGTCCATGACCTTGGAATGGACAGCGGCTCCCACTGGATGGCACAAAGAGTAGTTTCAATTCCCCTCATACCAACCTTTACCTTCCCACAGATCCCTCCCCCCCACTGCTGATGGCTGACTGGCATCTGACAAAGCACCGCTGATGCAGCAGAACGCCAGTCCTGACACAGTTGTTAAGTTAGGAACACAGTTGTTAAGTGAATCGGGCTTCCCCATTGACTTTGCTTGTCGGAAAGTCACAAAAGATGATCATGTTATGACCTGGGGCGGGACACATAAGCAACACCTGCGAATGCAAAGACTTGAATCCCTTTTATTAAACCCACCTTCCCCCGAATCCCCACAGTTCCCTTTAAGCCCAAGAGCAAGGCTCTAACATGCCACACACCTCAGGTAGTTCCTTGAAGTTAGCAGTCCCAAGAGAGAGAAGCACAGTTCTGCTAGCAAAAACACTTCAGGAAACTTGATTGTGTGGGTCTCTGTGGCATGGAGAGTTCACTGGGTCACTGAACTCACACACGGCAAGGCAAGGCAAGGCAAGGCAAAACAAGGCAAAGCAAGGCAGCGTCGATAACAGCAAGGCCTCTTGAATCGTGGCAAGTATTGCTGGCAAATACAACACTTGTTCCCAACAAAAGCCCCTCCCCACTTATGGCAAAGATTTCTGTTTATTTAAAGGACCATACACAAGAAAAATTTATCATAGTATGGAGAAGGTGGATAGATTATATTCAGAATAAATATGGAATTTTAAAGTTCCATTTATTTTATGATTAAGTAATAATTACTATTTATAGAATTTTATAAAATTTGATTTATAGTAGATTTGTTTATTTTATTATTTTTAAAGTTTAGAGGGAGTTAAGGGTTATGTGTATTGTAAAATTTTTTTTTTCTTTTTTTGTTTTAAAACAGTGGTTCTCAACCTGTGGGTCGGGACCCCATTTGGGGTCGAACGACCATTTCACAGGGGTCGCCAAACAACGCAGTCCGCCATTTTTTTCCCCTTTTCCTTATCTGTGCTACTCTATTCATATAATATTGATTATTATGTAAATGACTCTTCAAAGACTCCTGTGTAAGTCAATAACCTTAATTATGAGCCCTTATGTCTGTCAGAATAGGAATAGAATAGAATAGAATAGAATAGAATAGAATAGAATGGAATGGGATGGGATGGGATGGGATGGGATGGGATAATAAAATCCAATATATTTAATGAATAAAAGACTAGCAGAAATTTTGCCAGATAGCTCTTATGCAAAATTCATGAGTGCGCAGAATTATATAGTTGGAAAGGACCTCAGAAGAAGCTACCTATTCCATTGGCTTACAGATTTTACCATCAAGAAACTCCTTCGAATATTTAACTTGAATCTCCTTCTCTATAATTTCAACCTATTGGTTGGAGACCTGTTCTCCTGAGCAGCAGAGAACAAGTCTACTAACATTTTCAATATTTGAAGACTGTTCTATTTTACGCAAGGGGTTGCTCTTGTTTGACACAGGCAGATAAACTCCACGGAAAGGATTTCATGAAGATTACTTTAATTCATCAGATATTCTCTAAACATTAACTCACAGTTCTTGTGGCTGGAATTCATAAAGACCCCGCTTGCCCTGCACCTAGCTAGAAATTCCGGTAACCAATCAGAAGTCCCTCCCAGTGGCCAATCCGAAACCCAGATATGACCACGTAACTTAAAACTACATTACCCAAAAGGCTATCCCTTAAGGGGACAGTTCTTAATTCCTAAGATAGTTATTTACTCTGACCAGCACAAAGACTGCTGTTCTACCTTCCTTCAGTATTCTGTTCTGCAGCTAGATATATTCATCCATCATGTAGTAGCCCTCCTCTGAACTATCTATGGTTTGTAAATTTGTCAAAGTCCTTTCTAGATGGCATTGAGGTGGCAGAACAGGACACAGTATTCCAAACAGGGTCCAACCAAGGCAGAGTAGAATGGGACAATTACTTCTTGAGATCTGGATTTATGCTGCTCTTAATATATCCCAAAATAACATTTGCATCACTCTTTGTTCTCTTCATCCACCTACTTAGGAGAGACACTATGTTGATTAACAATGTTAAAAACTCTTCCTCCAGATTTCAGTTGTGTGGGTTAGTTTTGGTTACTCAGTAATGCAGAAAATGCCCATTTTAGGCTTTTCTTTTTTTGTTTTAATTGAAAAAATTTTAAAAACTTTTACAAAGACAGAAAAAAACAATAACAACAACAACAACAAAAAAAACCAATACAACCCTCCCCCAACCCCTCCCAAACCACCCCCTCCCTCCCCCCCGGAGCTTCCCAGAGCAGAATATAGGCTTAATTAAAAAAAAAATTAACAAAATTATAAAATAATTGAAAATAAAATATATATGAAAAAAGAGTTATAATCCTTAAAAAGAGAAAATATTTAAAATAGAAAAATACAGGTTATAAAAAGGCTAAATGATATTTTTTCAAATCCAATTTAAATTGTATGAAATTTATCCATTTTTCCCATACATCAAAAAATTTCTCTTGCGTTTGCTCTTTTAAGAAAGCCGAAATCTTTGCCATTTCCGCCAAGTAAGATACTTTAAAAAACCACTCTTGCAAAGTAGGCAAAGATTCCTTCTTCCAGTATTGACCTACTAAGAGCCTTGCAGCTGTAATCAGATTCAACATCAATATAACCTCCTTAGCATCACAATCAGTAACAATGCCAAGCAAAAACAATTGTGGAGTAAATTTTACCCTCTTTCTAAAAATTCTCTGAATGTTCCACCATATCTTAATCCAAAAAGCTTTTATATTTTTACACGACCACCAAATATGATAATAAGTGGCATCCAGGCAGCCACATCTCCAACATTTGGGCTGTAAGTCAGGATACATGAAAGACATCTTTTGTGGATCAAGGTGCCATCTGTAAAACATTTTATAAAAATTCTCCCTTAAATTCTGAGCTTGTGTAAACTTAACATTTCTCACCCAGATAGTTTCCCAGGTATCCAGTAGAACTGGTTCACCAAAATTCTGCGCCCATTTAATCATACAATCTTTAATTAATTCTGATTCTGAATCCAGTTCCACTAGCACCCCATAAATTCTCTTAATGTGAGTTTGTCTTTGATCCTTTACTTGCTTAAAAAGATTTTCATCTTCTCTAAGCAGGCCTATATTACGATCCATCTTCCATCTATCTACTAATTGTCTATATTGAAACCAAGAATAAGTAATATTTTCATGTACTAAGTCTTCCAAAGATTTTAACTGCCAATTTTGACCATCCCATCTAAGTAATTGTGTATAAGACACCGTATCCATTTTAACACCTCTCTTTATCCCCTCTATCACATGCCAAGGTATAGCCCTTAATGGTATTTTAAAATCACTTTTATAATATTTCCTCCAAACCCTAAGTAAAGAAATCCTTATAATATTTTAGGCTTTTCTTCATCAGCAATTTTACGTATCATTTAGACTTCTGAAAAAATAGTTCATGGCCCAGGCTCGAAATAATAAATATGTTCATATCAATGATGTTCAAACAGACAATTATTTATAATCAGAAACTTAGCAAAGTGGGAGTGAACCCCAAACACAGTGATTGGCCCAGGGTCACCCAGGGTCACCTTTCATGGCAAAGGCGGGACTAGAACTCACAGCCTCTGTTTCTAGCCTGGTGCCTTAACCACTAGAACAAAATGGTTGTGGGTTTTTTTTGTATGTGTGTCAGTTATTATCTTTTGTTGTCTTTCTTTTATCATCCTTTCTCTCCTGCAAGGGGCTCAGCTTATTTCCTCAAGCCATTCTAAGTGATTTGGGCATATCACATTGGTTTTAATTCAATCATTTTTATATGGTTCATCAACCAAAGAAGTATAGGAGTAAGGAGTAAGGGTTACTGTACTAAATCATAAGTTTATAGCATACTTACTTGCTATAAGAGACACAGCACAAAAGGAAAAGGGGACGAGGAGAGAGGAGGGAAAAACAGCAGGCATGAGTTCTTAAAGTTCAGGAAATAAATAAATCAGAAACAAACTCAAAGGAAAGGTTGCTTCTTCTAGTAGTCTCAACAACTGCAATTAGAAGGTGAAAGGTTTGCCTCAAACTAGGATGGGAAAATACCATAATCCTGATTCCTCTGTCTCAGCCAGTGTTAGATAAAAAACTTCTCTGCTAGTTGTACTTCACCTTCCAACGTGAGTATTATTGAGTACATAAGTTTGAGCTCTTCGTATAATCCGCCTGAGAGGAAGCAGATGGAAAGATCTTCCAATATTCCAAAACTGCCAATATTGTTTTCAGTCTTTAGAAATAATTTATGTTCTCTTGCTTCCTCTTCTTTGTTGGATTGTTAGAAAATATCATTTTAAGATATTATCAGTTTCCATCCGTTGCTTCTTGTCCTGCCTTCAGGTGCTTTGGAGAATAGCTTGACTCCCCTCTTCTTTGTGGCAGCCCCTGAGATATTGGAACACTGCTATCATGTCACCCCAAGTCCTTCTTTTTGTTAAACTAGACATACCCAATTCCAGCAACTGTTCTTGATCCAGTCAGATCATTCCAGGTTTCAAAGATTTGGTGATGTCCTCTCTCTCTCTCCCTCTCTCCCTCTCCCTCTCTCTCTCTCTCTGTCTCTGTCTCTCTCTCTCTCTCATCTGTCTATCTGTCTCTGTCTCTTTCTCTCTCATCTGTCCCTCTCTCTGTCTCTCTGTCTCTCTCATCTGTCTATCTGTCTCTGTCTCTCTCTCTCTGTCTCTCTCTCTCTGTCTCCCTCTCTCTCTCTCATCTGTCTGTCTCTGTCTCTCTCTCTCTCTGTCTGTCTCTGTCTCTCTCTCTCTCTCTCCCCTCATTGGTAGGCACTTCATACAAAATAGATTCAAACCCCGAGGAATTCCATTTCATTTTAGATCCTAATGATCACGATAAGCTGTCCAGGAGGAGCACCAAGGGCTCAATCCCTCCTCCAGCTTTTGCTTGGTAAGCAGGTCGTCTGCTTGAAGAACGCTTAGCCAGACGCTCCGTGGCACCTTTGAAGAGAGTATGCAGAGAGTCCTTTATCTCACAATTTACACTTGCCTTGTCTTCGCACTCATGGGTAAGTCCTGGTAAACTACAATTATATATGCCTTCAAGACTTTCTTTATTCCTGGCAGGTACAAGGAGTAATCCAAGCAGTTTTCTTGGCAAGGTTTTTGAGGGTAGTTCATTGCTACCTTCTTCTTCCTGGGGATGAGAGAGGGTGACTGTCCCAGGATCAACCACTTCATGTAAGGCAGGACTGGACTCACAGTCACTGTTTCCTAGGCAGCAACTCTTCCCCTCCTTCCCCAAGGCCACTCACATATTCCACTGTGTGGAAAAACCAAAGGTACAAGTACAGATTAGGCCAGTGATGGCGAACCTTTCAGAGACCGAGTGCCCAAACTGCAACCCAAAACCCACTTATTTATTGCCGAGTGCCAGGTGGGTGTGGCCCACTGGGTGGGCGTGGCTGTAGTGGTCATGGCAGACTGGGTGGGTGTGGCCAAGGTAGGCGTGGTCACCTGGATGTTGCTCATAGGGAAGGACACCTATGGGGGCCGGGCAGGGTTGGGGGAGATCCAGAGGGTCTCTGGCAGGTGGGGCAGTGGGCAGGAGACTCGTCCTGCAGGGTGAGGCGAGGCAAGGCATGGCAGGGCAGGGGTGCCATTGTCGCAGGGCCAGGCAAGGCAGGGGCCGGGGCGGCTGCTGCCTGACACCATCGGCCCCCGCACATAGAGGCCAACGAGCGCATGGGGGGTGATGGTGTCTATCAGCAGCCACATTCTGCCGGCCCCTCAACCAGCGCATTCTGGGGCTGCGCAGCCTGCCGCCAGCAGTTCAGAGAAACCGCCTCTGAGCTGAATGGCCGGCCAACAGCTGAGGAAGCGATGCAGTGGGTCGTGCTAGGGAAAAGGAGAGCATGCGAGGCCAAGAGGGATGGGACGGGGGGGAGGAGGGAAACCAGCCGTGCTGGGATGCATCCGGCCACATAAGACCTTGGCGAGTTAGCAGGCGGCTGCTTGAAGAGAGACGGTTGCCATCTCTGGGGCATGGCACATGTGCCCACAGAGAGGGCTCTGAGTGCCACCTCTGGCATGCGTGCCATAGGTTCGCCACCACTGGATTAGGTAAAACCTGGCTCAAAAACAGTAACTGTGAGAGGGACCTTGCAATCCTAGTAGACGATCACTTAAACATGAGCCAGCAGTGTGCAGCAACAGCCAGAAAAACCAATACAATCCTTGGTTTTATAAACAGAGGCATAGAATCAAAATCATGTGAATTATTAAGGATTTATACAGCTTTATAAATCCTTAATAAAACCACACCTGGAATACTGCATCCAGTTTTGGTCACTACGTTACAAAAAAAGATGTTGAGACTTTGGAAAAAGTATAGAGCAGAGCAACTAAGATGATTAAAAGGCCTGGAGACTAAAACATATGAAAAACAGTTGCAGGATTTAGGTATGGCTAGTCTAGGGAAAAGAATAACTCAGAGGGGGGCATGACAGTAGTTTTCCAATATTTGAGGGGCTTCCACAAGAGCAGTTGAAGATGGGGTCAGCTTATTTTCCAAAGCACAGAGAATAGGACAAGAAACCATGGATGGAAACTAATTAAGGAGAGAAGCAACCTGGAATTAAGGAGACACTTCCTAACAGTGAGAACAATTAACCAGTGAAGCAGTTTGTTGTCAGAAGTTGTGGGTACTCCATCACTGGAGGTTTTTAAGAAGAGACTGGACACCTGCTTGTCTGAAATGGTATAGGATTTCCTTCCTGAGCAGAGGGTTGGACTAGAAGACCTCCAAGATCCCTTCCAGCTCTATTCTATTCCAGCTCTGTTCCACAAGTCTTGAGGGTTGCCAAGTTTGGACACCCCTGATGTAGATTGTAATTCTGGAGAGTTTATGGGCACCAAGAAATGGCTGCCTGCATCCACCAGACCTCTTCAAGAAGAGTAATATACACTCAGCCAACACATGCAATAACGTTCCAAAAATATTTTTAAAAAATGGTACCTTCATACACAGCAGTTTACAGTATAATGCCTTGATAAGACCACACTTGGAATACTGCATCCAGTTTTGGTCACCGCGATGTAAAAAAGATGTTGAGACTCTAGAAAGAGTACAGAGAAGAACAACAAAGATGATTAGGGGACTGGAGGCTAAGGCATATAAGGAACGGTTGCTAGAATTGGGTATGTCTAGTTTAACGAAGAGTAGGACAAGAGGGGACATGATAGCAGTATTCCAATATCTTAGGGGCTGCCACAAAGAAGAGGGAGTCAAGCTGTTTTCCAAGGCGCCTGAAGTCAGGACAAGAAGCAACGGGTGGAAACTAATCAAGGAGAGAAGCAACCAAGAACTAAGGAGAAACTTCCTGACAGTCAGAACAATTAACCAATGGAACAACCTGCCTCCAGAAGCGGTGAATGCTCCAACGCTGGAAGATTTTAAGAAGAGACTGGACAGCCATTTGTCCGAAATGGTATAGGGTTTCCTGCCTGAGCAGGGGGTTGTACTAGATGACCTCCAAGGTCCCTTCCAACTTTACTATTGTTGTTGTTGTTGTTGTTGTTGTTGTTGTTGTTACCAAACCAGCTGAGTTTTGACTTTCTGTTTCTGCAGCATATAGTTTGAAGTGCCACTATTGTGCTCGGAAGAATGCTGGGAAAAGCTGCCATAAGAAAGCTACTATCTGCTTTCCAAAGGAGGAAAACAAATGCATAACAATCCAAGTTATTTACCGTAAGTTGAAATCTTGTAGAACGGTCCGTGGCTCAGGAATTCTGGGAGTTGAAGTCCACAGCTCATCAAAGGGCCATCGTTCCCCACGACTGCAATAGGGCAAAGAATAATAATGATCAAGGATGCTGAGTACAACTACAATGGGTGCCTTGAGTAAGAATTAATACATGGGCATCAGAACACATTTGAAAATGTTTTGCTTCACTTGGCATCCACTATTATCATCTGCTTTAGGCTTTCCATCGTTTATCTCTATGTATCTTTTTTCGGTGACTGGTCCTTTTTAAAATATCTTCCCTGGGTATCCTTTTCGTTTTCAGATCTTTACTAAAACTTTTGCATGGCCCTGTTGACATCTGCTGTTTTTCAATCCTCCACTGGAATAGTTTACAGTTGTACAGATAGTCCTTGACGTACAATGGTTCATTTAGTGACTGTTTGAAGTTACAAGGGCATAAGTGACTTATGACCGTTTTTCACATTTACAACTGTTGCAGCATCCCCATGGCCACATGATCAAAATTCGGACGCTTGGCAACTGATTCATACTTATGACGGTTGCAATGTCCCGGGGTCATGTGATCTGCTTTTTGCAACCTTCTGACAAGCAACGTCAATGGGGAAGCCAAATTAACTTAACAACCTTGTTACTAACTTAACTGCAGTGATTCACTTAACTCTGGGAAGAAAGGTCATAAAACGGGCAAAACTCATTTTACAATTGCTTTGCTTAGCAACAAGGTTTTGGGCTGAATTGTGGTCATAAGTTGAGGACTGTTTGTATTTTAGTATCTCCTTTTCTAGGAAAATCCATCTATCTTGAGTTCATTTTACTTTGGCGTCTCCTTCTATGGCAGGGGTAGACAACCTCGACTTTATGACTCATGGACTTCAACTCCCAGAATTCCTGAGTCTGCTATGAGGTTGCCTACCCCTGTTCTATGGAATAGCCTTTATCATTACTCTGAACCTATTGAAATCTGCATTCTGAAAGTCCAAGATAAGCCTTCAGCCATACCCTACTTTAAATTCTCTTACACTTAAGAACTACAATATGATTGTTTCCCTAAAGATCCCCTTGTGTTCACTTCCTTAAGTAAGTCTTACCTGTTCATTATTAGCCAATTTAAATCTAGCTTGGGAAGTTTCTATGGAGAAAAACAAGCCACTTTTCTTAAAACTGTTATCGTTTTGATGAGATTTTGGTGATATCTAATTAGACTTTCAGTGGAAAAAAATGGAACTAAAATCAAGTCTAAAGAAGACCAAAGTAATAACAACAGGTACCACAACCAGAATTGATCATTTATCCATTTATCACATTTTTACACTACCCATCACACTGCCCAATGAACACATTGAAGGGACGGGTAGTTTCTGCCATTTAGGATCAACCATCAACAGTGAAGGAAGAAGCATCAAGAAATACACTACAGACTAGCATTGGGTGGGAGGGCCATGAAGGGCTTGGAAAAGACATTTAAATACCATGATGTGTGTCTATCTACAAAGATCAGAATAGGGTAAGGAATGGCATTCTCTGTGAGACTCTGTGGAAATGAAAGTTAGAATTGAAGAAGCAGGCTAGGAATTGACACCCTTGAACTTTGGTGTTGGAGACGACTCGGGAGAGTACCATGGACAGCCAAGAAAACAAACAAACAAAAATCTCTAGTCTAAAGCTAAAAGGGAGAATATGAGATTTGCAATTACTGGTAATCCTCGACTTACGACCACAGTCAAGCCCAAAATTTATGTTGCTCAGTGAGAGATTTATTAAGTGAGTTTTGCCCCATTTTACCACTTTTCTTGCCACATTTGTTAAGTGAATTGCTGCAGTTGTTAAGTTAGTGATAGGCTTGTGAACTGAACCTGGCTTTGCTTGTCAGAAGGTTGCAAAAGGTGATCACGTGACCCCCCAGGACACTGCAACCATTGTAAATACGAACTAGTTGCCAAGCATCCAAAGGTAAATCACATGATCATAGGGATGCTCCAAAGATCGTTAACTGTGAAAAACGGTCATCAGTCACTTTTTTCAGTGCCGTCGTAACTCTGAACGGTCAATAAGCAAACCATTGTAAGTTGAGGACTACCTGTATTACAACTTGGAGGGAGAATCCAGAGAGAGATTGCATCTCCCTTTAGCAAGGTTCTCAGCTGGAAGAAGCACCAAAAATGTTGGCATTTTTTTCCCCTGCTTTTTCAGCAAATGTAAAGTATTTGTAAGGTAGACACTAGTTTAAATATATCTAAAGCGATTTACTGAGGCAGCATATTTGCCCCCAACAATCGTTACCAACTTTGGAAGGATGGAAGGCTGAGTCAACCTTGAGCTGGTCAGGATTGAACTGCTGACAGTGAGCAGTGAGTTAGCCTGCAATGCTGTATTCTGACCACTGCGCCACCACGGCTCTGTAATCCTGATTATATTAAAATCTTTTGGTCCACAATTCCAATAAATCCCGCCCTTGCTAAAGATACATTGCAGATGCCATAGTATTCTTAATAGCAATTCTGCAAACATCCAAACAGTTGTCAGTAACGTCTCATTTTCTCTCTCATTTTCTCTTGGTGTCTTTTTGCAGGAAACAAACTGATGTTCTCAAAAGAAGGTTGCACTGGTTATGTTCGAGACTGTGAACGAGGAAGGAGAAGCAAATATGGCATCTTTGTGAAAATTGATTGCTGCAACAGGGATCTGTGTAACGGCACATAGAATGATATTTGACTGTTGTTGTTGTGTCAAGAACTTGCCTTTTTTCTGTGTGTTCATGTAAAAGGTCCCTGGGAGACGCAAATTTCATTTCTGTTTCCAGATAGATAATGCACTCATGCTACCTAGATATAAAATTAAGGAGAGGTGTATTAACATATAATATTAACAATATTTTTCTTTTAAAAATAAAAAAATATTATCATGGCCCTTACTTCCCTATTCAGTATTCCATACCTAAGTAAAGATAGGATATTTCTAGCTCAGGGTTGACATGTGGGGTCGAAAAGAGTCACTAGTGGGAGTTAGAAAACTGGTTCTTTTTTTTTTTTAAGTATGGAGTTTATGTATCGTGGGGTCCTTGGTGTTCTCCGAGCTTGGTTGTTTTCTTGCAGATGTTTCATTACACAACTAGGTAACATCATCAGAGCTGTTACACTGTCACACTGTAGCACCGATGATGTTACCTAGTTGGGTAATGAAACGTCTGCAAGAAAACAACTAAGTTTAGAGAGCACCAAGGACCCCACGATACATAAACTCCATACTTTAAAGAAAAAAAAAGAACCAGTTTTCTAACTCCCACTAGGACTAGTGACTCTTTTTGAGCTAAATTCTCTCTGGCACCATTTCAGTTTTCTTTGTGGGTGTTTAATTTCCATCTCTCCAACACTTCAACACTGTCTACTAAAGGGCAGTTTAATAGAAATCCACGATAGGTTTCCTGGAAGCTTAACCTAGCTCAGTGGTTCTCAACCTTTTTAATGCCGCGACCCCCAACCGGTCATAAGTCGAGGACTACCTAACCGGTCGTAAGTTGAGGACTACCCAACCCGTCGTAAATCGAGGACTTTCCCTGTCCGGGAGCACCGCGCATGCGTGGTGCCGCCCCCTGCGCCGGCCGAGGCGTAGCTGGCAAGGGGCAGTGACGGCGCAGGGCGACCACCGGCTGGGCCACCAGCTGGCCCAGCCCAAGTGAGGTAAGGCACCTGCCGGGCCCCACGCATGCCAGCAACCCTCCCTGCGCCCGCTGGCCTCCCACCTCCCACCCCTGGCCCTCTTTTACTTACATTTTTAGTAGTTGCTCAGCAGGGAGGGGTGGAAACTTCCAGACAGCTCGCCTTCGCTGCAGACAACTTGCAGCACCGTTTGCAGAATGGGACTTTTGGCGGGCTCAGCAGGGCACAGACAGCTTGGACAATTCCTATTGGCTTTTGAAAGCCAATAGAATTAGACTCTATTCAAGAGAGTCTATTCTATTGGCTTTCAAAAGCCAATAGAATAAAAGGGAGTAGCACAGCTAAGGAAAAGGGGGAAAAAATGGTGGACTGCATTGTTTGGCGACCCCCATGAAATGGTCGTTCGACCCCAAATGGGGTCCCGACCTACAGGTTGAGAACCACTGACCTAGCTGGAATTCACTTTCCTCTCTCATTTCACCTCCTAGCTTTCCTGTAGTGTTTTTATTCAGTGGAGTTCTTTTTTAAACAGTTTGGTATAGCGATTAAAGGATCACGCTAGAAGCCAGTAGACCATGAATTCTAGTCCTTGAGCCTTTCAGTCTCTCTCAACCCTAGGAAGCAGCCAATGTCAAACCACTTCCAAAAAATCTTGCCATGAAAATTGCAGGGACCCTTCCAGGTAGTTGTCCACATTGACTTGAAGGCATGAAAAGGAACCTCAAAGTACAATTGTCTGGACCCCTTGATATTTCAGCCCAATAGTCTTACATTTTTGTCCCTGGGTATAAGGCAGTGATGGCGAACCTTTTAGAGACCGAGTGCCCAAACCGCAACCGAAAACCCATTTATTTATTGCAAAATGCCAGGGTTGCATCAGCATTGTGGTGCCTTCGGGAGGGGGGCAGGGAAGCGCCTCTGAGTGCTGCCTCTGGCATGCAAAAACTGGGGGCGCAAAAATGGGCCACCGTGCTGCCAGGCGCAAAAACAGCCGCCGCTGCACTGCGGGGTGCAGATGCAAGGCGCTGCATCACGCAAGAACAGGGCAGGGCTAGTGAGTATCACGCAGGCACTAGTCCCACCCCATTTGCAATGCAAAATGCTTCCCCCTCCCTTTTCTTCCAGTCCACCTCTACTTGAGCTTGCTAGTCGGCTGCTTAGCCTCCTTTGTGCTGGGTAGGGCTCCTGCTCCGGGTGGCAGTGGCGGTCTGATGGACCTGCTGCTAGCGGTGGTATGTGTGCCAACAGAGAGGGCTCTGAGTGCCACCTCTGGCACGCGTGCCATAGGTTCGCCACCACTGGTATAAGGGATCAAAAAAACATGAC